GAGAGAGAGAGAGAGAGAGAGAGAGAGAGAGAGAGAGAGAGACAGACTGACTCTGCTCCCCTGGGTCAGATGTTCATCTGGTTTACACAGTTCTGGGATGGGTTGGGCTTGCGCTGTGAACTACAGGACACAATTTTAGATAGAGGTGGCATATGAATGTTTCACCTTCATGCATGCATACGCACCAAGTGTGCGCAGTGCCCTCGAGGCCAGAAGAGGGCAGCAGATCTCTTGGAACTGAAATTACAGGGGGCTGTAAGCCGCCATGTAGATGCTGGGAACCAAACCTGGATCTTCTGCAGCTTTGGACCCATCTCTCCAGGCTCCAGTGCGTGCGTGCAAGTGTGTGTGTGTGTGTGTGTGTGTGTGTGTGTGTGTGTGTGTGTGTGTGTGTTTCCACTGGAGGCCAGAGGTTGGCTTCAGATTCCCCCATATTTGCAGTTATGAGCCACTCCATGTGGGTGCTAGGAACTGAACCTGGGTCGTCTGCAAGAACAGAGCTGTCTCCCTGTGCCATGGAGCACATCATTTGGGGTGTTACGGAACGGTGGGCAGAAAAGTGGTATTTGGGAGATTTGAGGCCGTGATAGAGTCATAGGGGCAGGACAGCCAGGCCTAGGAGAGAGCATATGCCCGTGGGGCTCCTGACACTCTTAGGGGACAGTGTGTGGGTCCGGGGAGCTGGCCACTGACCCGCAGGGCTTCCCGCAGGATGCCCTGCACACGTTCCCACAGCTGCAGGTGGAACAGCCTGGAGACGGCTCCCCCGAGGAGGGGGCTGTGCGGCTGCGGCCTGCAGGGGAGCCCTACAACCGCAAGACGCTCAGCAAGCTCAAGAGAAGTGTCGTGCGGGCCCAGGTAGGACCTGACCCCGGGAAGGATGGCCCTCGGTGCAGTGGTGCTGGGCGGCGGGGGTCTGAGCGTCTGCCCCTCTGTGCAGGAGTTCAAGGTGGAGCTGGAGAAGTCGGGGTACTACATCCTCTACCACTCTCTACACCACTACAAATACCACACCTTCCTGCGCTGCCGAGACCAGGTGAGCCCCGGGGTCTAGACTCCAGCCTTCCTCCTTCAGACTCAGGGTCCTGGTCCCATCCGCTCCCTAGCCACGTCTTCCCATACAGCCTGGCTTTGCTTCCCCACAGACCCTGGCCATCGAGGGCGGTGCTGAGGACCTGGGCCAAGAGGAAGTGGTCCAGCAGTGCATGCGGAACCAGCCGTGGCTAGAGCAGCTCTTCGATTCCTTCAGCGACCTGCTGGCCCAAGCACAGGCCCACAGCCGCTGCGGGTGACTGCGCCCGGCCTGGCCAGGAGGGCACCTCCTCCACGAACTGAGAACTGGACAGAACTGTCCTCTGGAGCTGACGTCCGGGCTCCCTCGCTGCCCGGAGGGAAGGGCCCATCCTCAGCCAGGGTGTATCCACACAGCCCTCCCCTCTGTCCCTCTGACGCCCTCCCCGATTCCTGTACAGAGAAATTATTTATATATATGTATAAATGTCTATTTAGTAACACTTGCCCTGGCCCAGCCCTCCCAACACAGCCATTGCTCCTGCCCCTCCTCCGTGTACATAATGTATAGGAAAATTCTATGTATGGTTGAGGGAGGTGGGACAACTTGAGAGAACTGGGGGACGCCCTCTGCTCTCATGCTCCCCCCTCCAGGCCAACATCTTTGCTAAAGGCTGCTCCCCAAGGGCGTGTGGTGTTGGGTGGGAGGGGCCAAACATCTTGTTAATTATTTTTAATCTTATTTATTGTACATACCTGGGGTGGGGGAGGGATGGAGAGGGAGGGTGAGAAGGCTCCCCTCGTCCTGCCCTCCGGTTCCTTTTCTACAGCATCTGTCTCCCCCACCCTCAGCCCACGTCCTTAGTCTTCTCAATGTGGTTCTATTTTTTAATGCCTTTCTCTGTCCCTCCCGGCTCCTTTTTGTCCTCTTCCCTCCTCTCCCTGACCTCTTGCTCTTGGGCGCTGTACGACTCACCTTGTATACACTGTGTACACAGAACCAGCCAAACGAAACCCAACAGCAACACTTTACCAGCAGGCTGGAGTGCTCTGTCTGCGGCGGTGGGGTGGGCCTGGGCAGTGGGGGCAAGGGCAGCCAAAGGGCCTCGGGTGAAGCCCACTCAGGTAGAAGCCTAGGGTTAGTGTGTGTGTGGCCCCGAAATGCAGTGATCTCACACAGGCATGAGTTTTGTCATGGTTTGTCAAGATCGAGGATGTGGGGGTGGACCGATCTGCCAGGCTGCCGGGGGGGGGGTTGTGGCTGCAGGATCCCCACGTAAGGCTGGAGGCCTCGCTTCTTTACGGTGTGGTGTTTCCTTGGAACTCACTGAGCATTCAGTTGGCTGACCAGGAGGAAGCCATCTAAGTCAAATGCCATTGTCACAGACTCCAAAGCCTTGGGGCTGGGGAGGTGGCTCAGTAGTTAGAACACGAGCTGCTCTTGCAGAGGTCCACACTGGATGGCGTACACAGAAGACAACTAGACTTCACTTTTTGGTCTCCTGTAGTCTGAACTCACCAAGTAACCAGCTGACATTGAACTTCTAATCCTCCTGCTTCCACTTCCCAGGTGCCAGGAGTATAGGCGTGTGGGTCCCGTGTCCCCGCCCCCCCCAACCTGGTTAAATTCCACCTTTTTTTAGAGGGGGGTGTTCAAGACAGGGTTTCTCTGTAGTTTTGGAGCCTGTCCTGGACTAGCTCTGTAGACCAGGCTGGCCGTGAACTCACAGAGATCCGCCTGCCTCTGCCTCCCGAGTGCTGGGATTAAAGGCGTGCGCCACCACCGCCCGGCCTCTGTGTAGCTTTTTAAAGAATAGACTTTTCAGGTTGATTCATGGAGAACAGGTGACAGACAGGAGCTGGGTAGTAATTTCTGCTACAGAGTTGAGGGTTCCCTTTACCACTGTCGGATTCTGGGGAGAAGTCACCAAGAAGCACTTGAGACAGCCTAGGTTGGTGTGGGGCTCTCAGTTGACTGGGGGTGTGGGTCTGTACCATAGTGAATGTTAGGTACTGGTACTGAGTCGTCCGCTGTTGAGAGTGCCCCTGAAGTCCTCCAAGACTTGGCAGAAATTCTGTCCCAGGTCTCTGAGCTGAAATCAAGTTAAGTAGATGCTGGGTGTAATGGTTTATACATGTAATCACAGGAGTTACCATGGAAACTCAAGGCCAGCCTGAAAAGGGATGGGGTCAGGTCTTGCTGGTAGAGCCCCTGCCTAGAATCCCCCAGTGAGGGGCTGAGGGTGTGACTCAGTGGTAGAGCCCCTGCCTAGAATCCCCCAGTGAGGGGTGGGGTGTGACTCAGTGGTAGAGCCCCTGCCTAGAATCCCCCAGTGAGGGGCTGGGGTGTGGCTCAGTGGTAGAGCCCCTGCCTAGAATACCCAGTGAGGGGCTGGGGTGTGGCTCAGTGGTGGAGTGCTAAGCTAGTGTGTAGGAAGGCCCGAATTTCCCCATCCCCACACTGGGGTGGAGGTGGGGCACTAACATTGGGACGGTAACAATGGAGTTAGCTTTCTGTAAGGGTTGAGTATGGACCTTATGTGCCTATAAATTGTGGCCTGCAGGCCGACAGGCAGTAGCTTGACATTACAGATTGGCGCTGCAGAGGGAAGCTAGAGATCCCCAGGTCAGAGTTCTAGAACAAAAAAATTGACCAAAAAGCCCCCTCGAGAGTAGAAGGGCCGTGTTGCCTTTTGGATAAAACCCAACTTCCTAAGTTTGAGCCTCAGTTGCTTCCAGTTGAAGCACCCCAGTGGGTTTGTGCACATACATCAAAACTGAAGCCTGGTGTGCTGGGGAGTCTGAGGGAGGGAAGTGTAGAGAGTGGGGTAACCTTGGCTTCAGAGAGACCTTTTCTCAAAAACCCACAAGTTCATTGCCAGAGCCTGGAAGAGGGCAGAAACCCTACCACAGGCACCAACACGTGCCTGGAGAGATGCCGGCCAGGCTCTGCCAGCTTTGACTCTTGTCTTAGAAACTTTAGGATGGTAGTGGCCTGGAGCCTTCCAAAAATGCCGGCCAGCTGTCATGTGTATTCTTGTGCTTTCTTCTGGGGGCAAGTAGTGACCTGTCACCTTCTCATTGGGCGTCCAAGAACCAGGATGTGCAGGCCAAGAACTCCACCCTGTTGTACAGTGGGAAATAATTCCCGATCGGCTCTGTTCTGGGGAACGTCTGCTGGACCCAGAACTCTGACTGAAACTTCGGAGACTTGGAAACCTTGGCAGGGAAAGGATGAAATGGCTCCCGCCAGCTACAGATTCTTCCTTTCAAGGGGGCAACCCCTTCCTGGGCTGGGTAGTGAACATGCTACTACATGTTCTTAGTCTGGCTCGGTCCCAGGGCACAAGGTTGAACACAGGCCAAGGGCTCTTCGTTAGGGAAAGCCGGAAAGGGACGCTGCTAATTGATACCTAATCTGGAATACAGAGTAAAGCTCACAGTCCCAGGACAGGACAGAAAGGTCATGGAGGTTGATACCGAATAGCCAATAGGGCCTGGACTGCTCTGTGAGAGCCAACCTAGCCTGCATCCTCTCAGAGAAGATTGCTGTTCTAGATGTGGTTTGCCAAGGGCGAGGCCAGGCCACAGTCTCTCCCGGATCAGAAGGCAGACCCTGAGGTGGGTGTGAGGTGTTCTAGAATTGGGCCCAGAGACGTCACAGTCGTCGAGTTTGATGACAGGTCGGGTGAAAACCTGAGTTCAGCACGGGGACCGGCTGCTCGGATGGAGTTTCCGTCTGGTGTGCTGGTCGAGTGTTGGAGTGCAAAGATGGATAATCAAGCCAGGCTTGCTGGCTCACGCCTGTAACCCCAGCAGTTGGGGGGTGGAGGTGGGGGGGTCAGGAGGTAAGGCCAGCCTGGACTAAAACTCTAAGTTTGTGTCTGGCACCTCCAGGATGGCAGGGTTGGCAGGTCCTGGCCTGGGTCTAAGGAATCAAAGACTCCCTGGACCCAGATGCCTTTCTGCTCATCTGTCCCTCGCCCCAGCTAAAAGAACTTTCTTGGCATGGAGAGTGGAGATGGGAGCCTGATAGGTAGGGTGGTGGTAGTGTCTTTCTCTACGTCCTTGGAACTTTCTAGAACAGCATTTCCAGCAGGCCCTTCTGCAGCCGCAGGGGTCTTGTATATTTGCTTTCCTGTTAGATTTCACTGCTGGTTGTGACCATTGAGCTCTTGAACTTGAGGAAATTGATTCTCTCTCTCCCTCTCTGATTTTTTTCGAGGCAGGGTTTCTCTGTGTAGCCCTGGCTGTCCTGGAACTTGCTCTGTAGAACAGGCTGACCTCGGATCAGAGTTCCACCTGCCTCTGCCTCCCAAGTGCTGGGATCAAAAGCGTGCACCACCACTGCCCAGCTGAAAAAATTAATTTGAACAGCCATATGTAGATTCTAGCCACCATATTGAACAGTGTAGTTCTAGAATTTTCCAGGAAGAAAAGATAATACTTCCCCCCCCCAAACAAAATCTTGTCATAGAGTTTAAGCCAGGCTTGAATTTGTGCTCTAATTCTCTTGCCTCAGCCTGTGAAGTATTGGAGTTACAGGCATGCACCACCACACCAGCTTAAGTTTTTAAAAATACTATTACATTTATTTAGAGAGAAAGTGTGTGTGTGTGTGTGTGTGTGTGTGTGTGTGTGTGTGTGTGTGTGTGTGTGTGTGTGTTAAGGTTACTATTGCTATGACCATGACCAAAAGCAAATTTATGAGGAAAGGGTTTGACAAGAAACCCCACTTCCACATCACTGTCCATCTTTGAAGGAAGTCAGGACAGGAACAGGGCAGGAACCTGGAGGCAGGAGCCGAGGCAGAGGCCATGGAGGGAGCTGCTCACTGGCTTGCTCCTCATGGCTCCCTCAGCCTGCTTTCTCATAAAACTGGACCAGCAGCCCAGGGTGGGCCCTCCTTCATCAACCACTAATTAAGAAAATGCTCTACAGCTTGATATTTGGGAGGCATTTTCTCAATCGGGATTCCCTCCAGATGACTTTAGCTCGTGTCCAGTTGACATAAAACTATCCAGCACACACTTAAGTGCCATGTAGAGATCAAAGAACAATTGCAGGACTTGGTTCTTTCTTTCTTTCTTTTTTCTTTTTTCCTACCTTGTGGGTTCTGGGATTTGAACTCAGGAAGTCATGCTTGGCAGCAAGCACCTTTACCTCTTGGTCATCTAGCCAGATTACCACTCTCATTTAGAAAAATAAATAGAGCAGGGCATGGGGGTGCATGCCTTTAATTCTGGCACTCCGGAGGCAGAGGCAGGCAGTCTGAGGCCAGCCTGGTCTACAGAGTGAGTTTCAGAACAGCCAGGGCTGTTACACAGAGAAACCCTGTCTTGGAAAAACAAAATCTGGGCTGTGGATGCAGCTCAGAGGTTGGGTCCTTCCTTGCCTAGCAGGCATGAGACTACAGGTCCATCTCCAGCAAGCACCCCACCCACTCAATAAAAGGCACCTCCTGTTGTAGGCAGTGACATTTATTCTTCTGAAAGATGGGACGTATATACAGCAGTGATGAGGCGCTCCTCACCCCACCGGGGTCTTGGGTGGGGACAGGAGCCATTGACAGAAGGCACTCAGTGACAGCCCCAGGAGGCCAGGAGTGAAGGCAGAGGGTGTAGTGTGTCCTGGGGACCCGGGGGAGGAGACTGAGGCTCAGCTAGAGCCTCAGGCCACATAGCAAGTGTGAGGCAGCTGGTCCCGAGAGAGCTTGTGCTGGTCTGCTGGTGGATGGGCTCTTGGCTACAGCAGGACACAGGGGCAACCCCCATCCTTCTTCCTGGGGGCACTGGGTGGGCTGGGAGGGAGCTCTTGCTCCTGGTATTTCCTGTGGGAAGCAGTCTGTAAGCATGGGATGGAGGACTGAGGACCAGGAGAGCAGGAGAGGGTACTGTGCTTACCGGACAGTCCGGACCAGCTGCTCAAATGCCTCATCGACATTCAGACGCAATTTGGCTGAGGCCTCGAAGTAAGGCATGTGATGGGAAGCACTGAAGGAGGACGCTTCAGATCGGAGGACCTGGGGAAAGAGAGGACAAGGGAGGAGTCAGGGAGAGGGGAGGCTGTCAGAAGCAAGGTGTGTATAACAGAGCAGGTTCAACACAGAAAGTTCTAGAAAGACCCAAGAAGCGGATACTGGAGAGTCGAAGCTGTCTAAGTGAGACATTAGGAAAATTAGGAAGACGTTTTCGGTAACTACGAGGCAGGAAGGCAAGAAGGGTGTTCTTGGTCAGGAGAGGGGAACACACTGCACCTGGGGAACAATAGCAGAGGCTCAGTGTAAGAGTCAGGACGGTGTCTCAGTGGTGGACCCTAGAGTGCCCCAGTGAGGGGCCGGGGTGTGGCTCAGTGGTAGGGCCCCTGCCTAGAATCCCCCAGTGAGGGGCTGGGGTGTGGCTCAGTGGTAGAG